ATTAACTCCTAGTAGCGCTGATCTATCTATTACGATTAGGCTATAAGGTTCTTTCTTCGTCCGGGTAGCTATTCCGAATCGTCGCATAGCTGACTCGGATACTATATTAGTATCCGCGCTAGAATCTAACATAGTAACCCCGGGTTAACTATGTACGGTAACTTGTAGTTTAAGGATTAATTGTTCTTCGTTAGTCGGTGATTGAGCGGCTTCGTTTAACTCTCTTAGAGCGCTTACAGCTGGAGAGTAGATCCTTTTCCCGACTGTAGGCCTTCGTCCGCGTCCTTCGCCTAACGTTGTCCGTAGGGTCCCGTTCGTAGGGCCTCTCCCGTAATACCTAAGTTTCCGAGTTGTTTATTATAGAGTCGCTACTAGCGAGTCCTTGCTAGTTCGTGTCTTCGATTCTCCTCCTTTTCTATAGTACTAGGAGTACGAGAATCCCGAAGACGTTCTTAGATCGTTTGTGTTACTATATATAGAGCTTTTACATGTTACACCGACTCCCGGAGTCGTATGTCTATATATGTTCCTTTCGGCGTAATATAAGTTCCTAGCTTTATAAACTTGGATCTTAGGGGTAGTCGTTCTTAAACGAAATCTTTAGCTTATTTATCCTCCTAGATCCTTGGAAAGTTCTATAGCCTGTACCTAATAGATCCTAGTAGCATTTCTAGCCTACTTGGTCGTAGGTACCGTTGTCCGTCCACCTCCGGAAATACCGAATCCTACTATCGGATAACTATATTAGTAAGATCACGAATTATACTTATCGTTTCGTTAGTATAAATGTGAATTTCTTCTACGTTGACCTCTATTATTTCGTCGTCCGAAGCTTCTTCTTCTTCTTCCTAGTCCCCTAACTTAGGTTCAGAGTCAGGTTCTAGAATAATTAGTTCTCGTCCTAGTGTTCGTAACTATTGTGTGCTAGGAGGAGTCTATTCTCCTATAGTATTTCCGGCTTCCTCCGGCTACTTAGTTTCCGGAGAAGGTGTGCGTTCTTGGAAGCAAGTCTCGTTAAGGACTTCTTCCGGTACTAGTAACTCGCTACTTCGACGTCTTAGTTCCTATAGAAACTACCTAGCTTCGTTCTTTGCCGAATAGT